GTAAAATAATTAGACATGCACGATAATATCAGCCGCCATGCTTTTTGTCATTAATCACACTGACTTAATGTTACAGACACTGAACACTGTTTCATGTCTCCATCTGCTGGTGGGACGTCACATCACAGCCTGTGTGGATCATATGATGTTATGATCCTGATAAACCAGCGCTGGTTATTGGTCAAATAAGTTGTTAAATATTGACATAAAGGATATCATCAAAAAATCCAATATCACGCATCTCTAAAAATAATGTGACCACATTTTAATAAGTCCAATATTTTATTACTTTATTTATAGGATGAGCGAGTACACCATTATCTGTGTCTGTGTCTGTACTCAGAGTGGGCGGGGCTTGTGTGGGTGGAGTTTAAACGGAACAGGGAGGGGCCTATGTTGTTATTTATGGCCTGAAATTGACATTCACTGATCAGAAAGTTATTACCTTTGAAAACAGTCTGTTCAGAACTGAGCGTCACATCATGTTTATCACAGAGCAAAACTCAGCTGCCAGACTTTTAACTAATCCCAAGAGACCAGACCTCATAACTCCGCCCGTCAACGCTACACCAGCTGCCTGTGAGGTAGAGAACTGGTTTTAAACGTTTACTAATCACCTTTAAAGCCCAACATGGCCGTGCTCCTACACACACTATAGATGTACGCTGCCTGCTCTCGTCGGGTACGACCCTCCGGACTGTTCCCACAGCCCGACTCCTTACAAAAGGACACCAGGTGTTTTCTGTCGAGCAGCTGTGATGCTCCTCAGACCCAGTGTCTGCAGTTAAGACTCTGCTCAACACAGACGTTCACAGGAGGGTTGTTTTTACAGTAAATGTGTCGTATGTCTAGTTTCTATCCCTGTTTGATCAATTTTATTATTTATTTATTATCTGGTCTCAGCTTGTGTTTAATATTTTTTTTAAAGTATGTTGTTGCTGTTTTTATCGTGATGGTGTAAATATTTCATCCGTCCCATAAATCCCTGTGTAACTGTGTTTTAAAGTGCTGTACAAATAAAGATTATTATTAATATTAATTAGCTAATGTTAGCATGCTAACATGCTAAGCTAAAATTGGTGTCCACAGTAAACATCAGCCTGTTAGCATTATGAGCATGTTAGCATGCTAATGTTAGCAGTTTAGTTTCATGCAGCCACACAGAGGTGTTAGCATCACTGCAGACTCACTCCTAACCTTCCTCCTCCTCCTCCTCCTCCTCCTCCTCCTCCTCCTCAGTGGAGCTCCTTCGTGGCGTGCTCCTCCTCACCGTGCTGCAGTGCTGTTCTGTGGCCCGTGGCGGCTGTGAGCCTCGGCTGGTGAACATCGGCGCCGTGTTGAGTCAGAAGCGCTATGAGCAGGTGTTCAAGGAGGCGGTGAGCCAGGCCAACACGCTGTACGGGAAGGAGAAGTTCAAGATGAACGCCATCTCTGTCACTCACAAACCCAACGCCATCCAGATGGCTCTGTCCGTCTGCGAGGACCTCATCTCCAACCAGGTGAGGCTTCATCCTGTCACATGACTCATCCTGTCACATGACTCATCCTGTCACATGTTGAACTTCAGGTTCAGTTTACAGCTGGAGGAGATTTAAAGATTTTTAAACAGTTTAACGTGTAGATAAATCCTCTGGTGTTTGTCTCTGAGACTTCAGTCTGGTTCAGACGTCATGACATCAGACTGGTCGCCTCAGATCAGGAATGACGATAGGCGTCTGCTGAGATAATCGATTGTGTGTTGTGTCATAGTGGACGACAAATGATGCTGTGTCCAAGACGCCTAATGATGTCCAGGTTTCCCATGGCCATGGAAAACCTGATGAAGTCATGGAATTAGTAAAAATCAAGAATCAAAGGTGCTGCTCCTGATTGGTCAGATGGGTGTATGGATGGGAACTCAATACTGCAGAGATCATGACAGACTCTGGCTCCAAATGTTGTCATCAGCACAAGATGGCGTTGGTCGTATCCTTAATATTTTGTCTTCATTTTGTACAGTGGATGCAGAGACCTGTCGTCCATCTTTATAAACAGTCTGTGATTTCAGCCTTCTTTGTCTGAGACTGTAGACGTCCCACTCAGGTTGTTTTTGGCTCTGATCCTTAAACATTGATTATCTGCTGATATCTGAGTCTGATTAGATTTCTATATTTACTCAGGTAATGATTAGATCTGCATCTGACTCACCTGTTTACATTTTATTAAGGCTTAGACACATAATTAAGGGCGGGGCCTCCTGGTGCCGCCGACAGCATTGGTTAGGTAACGTAACCATGGCACAACCTCAGATTCACAGTCTATACGTAGATGTAGCTGTCACTGTTTCAGTATTTTCAGTTCATGAAAGCTAACTGTAATGTTTTCATCTTCTAAAAAAGTTTTGTTCAGTGTTTAGTTGAATTTAAAGAACTTCTGAAGGCCAAAACAGCCTCGCCGCCCCCTGAATTAAATTCATCTTCTTCTCTGCTCCTGTGGCAGCTCTTCTTCTCTGCTCCTGTGG